ACACGGAGGGCTGCGTGGTCCGGCCCCGCGAGGGCCCGCCGTGCGGGCTGTGCCCAGCGCCCGCTGCCTCGGCCTGCGCCTGCTGAGTGCCCTTTGACGCCGCTGGCGGGACACCGCGCGCCGCCTCCCGCCGTCCATCCGCGGTGCGGGGGAGCGGGGCTCGGCTCTGTCTCGGCCGCGTCTGCTTCTGCCCTGCCGCACCTTTCCTCTTCCATCTCATCTCCTGCAGTTGTGCAGTTTTTGGTAAGAAGTTCATTCACCCAGAAAATGTTTCTGAGCACCCACTGTGTGCCAAGCACTGTTCTAAACGCGCGTGATGTACGTCAGTGAGCAGAACAAAGATCGCTGCTCTTCGCGAACTTGTATGAGGAGGGAAAGGAGAAGCAGAATGAGCCGTCTGTAGTATACAGGCACACTGTATGGTACGTTAGAAAATAAGTACGGGAAAGGAAAGCGTCGTTTTCATCTTTGCGGAGAGAGCGCTCGAGCCAAGACTTGAAGGAGGCGCGAGGTTCAGGCAGGGTGGGCAGCGATGTGAGGTGGGAATAAGTGTGGCGCCTTGGAGGGACCGGAAAGCGGGCTCCGCGGAGGCCCGCGGTGCCGGGAGAGGCGCGGGTTGGGAGCGTGGGGAGTTCTCAGCTCCTGTCGAGGGCCTCTGGAGGGGTAGCTTTTAATCAGGGCCTGATAGATGTCTTTGCATTTTGGGTTTGTGTTCTTCCTGGAGTCTGTTGCTCAGCGACCTGCAGAAGCATTACCAAACGTGTGACTCAGTCTGTTTCCCCTGTTTCCACCTCTAAGGCAGCGAGACAGGTGGGTAGTGATTGAGAGATCTTGATTTGAGGCTGCTTCTGCCCAGAGGGCCTGAAACCTTTGCGTTTGTATCTTCAAAGTCTAGATGACTGGTGGAGAGTATTTTTTAAGTGGATCCTATTTTTAGCCTTAGTTTTCAAATAAAAACCACTTCCTCTATTAGCGCTTGATATGGAGTTGGGGGGTCATCTTAAATTTTCATATAGTTTCTCTTCTTGTATCACGTTTGTAAGTAGTGTGGTCAGATTCCCTTTTTTGCAGAGCCTGGTTGAAGGGTAGCTGATCTTTAACCTTTCCTCTTCAGCGGAATTAAATTTACAAGTGGAAAATGTGGCCTGAGTTCAAGAATGTTCAAAATCTTCATCCACAAAATGTACGTTATAATAGACATGTTTTCACCCCTTGCTCACAGTGCATAAGTGACACAATTCTTTTGAAGGGATAATTGGGGGAAGGGAGTGGTTCAGCCCCCAAATAAGCCTGAAGTGATAGCATTTTTCAGATCCTTAAGATCTGTCAATTTTTGTTTTCTTGCATTAAAATGCAGATGCTGTCCTTTTTTTGTTGTAGTTTGCAACAGGATAGAGCTCTCACCTAAATTGTGATTTTTTTTTTTTTTCCTTAAAACATGGGTGGGAGGAATGAGAAAGCAATTTAAGTGTGTAGCTTTGTTCACCAGCCCCTTAAGGAGAAATGCATGTGAACATCCTTGAGGCATTGCTTCTAGGTCCAGAGTCCTGATTTGGTAAATTTCTTCCTCCTAGTAGGAAGAATAGCTCAACATTTCTGGACAGGGTCACCCTCTACTTTCTACTCCTTTCTCTCATTATATACTTTATTGCCATTCATATGTATCTTGCTATTACTCTCTCCCTCTCTGTCTGTCTGTGGTTTTTGCAGAGTTCTTGTTGGTTTTTTTGTGGTATTGAGATTGAACCTAGGGCTTTGCATGTGCTCCTCATGTTCTTTACCACTGAGCCACACCTCCAGCCCTGGCCCTGTCACCTCTTTTCTTTTGCATTACGTTTACTAGATGAGAAATTGGAGTTTCTTCGATTTTTTTTTTTTTTTTTTTTTTTTTTTCCTTTCTTTCTGGGGTTTTTTTTTTTTTTTTTTTTTGTAGAACATAGAGCCACCTAGGTACCTTTAGGCCTTGTGATGAATGATACCTGCATCTGGTGATAAGCATTATTGACTGATCAGATCTTGGAAGGCTTGGTGGCACCTATTTTCCGTATCTAAATAGTCTATCAAGAGTCAGCACTTGATTTTCAAAACAAAAATACTTAGGTGGCTAAAGTGTTTGAAAATGATGTTATTAAACATGATAAGCCTTTGTCCGCCCTTGGATTCTGAAATGACTGGCATTTGATAGCCTGATATGAGAGGTAATAGTTAATTCCACCTTTTAAAATTGAATCTCTGCCAGATTAACCTGACCTCTTCTGTCATTGATTCTCCAAAGTCAGTGAACGTGACTGGTAAAATCTTGAACTGTAATGTAGGACCTTTGGTCATGATTTCTAAACTACTGAGAGAGTTAACTAGTAAATTGGCTCGGAAAGTTGAGATGTACTGGACAGAGGAATCAGGGGCCATCTTGGTACCTGATGGCTGATACTTTAAAAAAAAAATCTTAGCATCCCCATCTCAACTCAGCCACAGACGCGGGGTGCAAAGGTCATCAGAGCTTCTGTTCAGGGGAACAGCTGGGTGCTGAGCTCTGATTCATGGAGGGATCTGGTTATAGTTTGGGTACCATGTCCACCCCTCATATTACAGTAAAACACCTGTTTAAAGTACTGTTACGTCAAAAATCATAAGTGTTCATTGTAGAAAAATAAGTAAAAATATACAATAATAGCTTAAAATTTATAAAGCTATTGTATCTTATCACACTTATATATAAATAGATACATGTGTGTTTAATTCATTAAAATAGGATTAATCTTGCCAATTTTTTTTTTCCTGTCTTTTTTTGACAGGGTCTTGCTGTTCAGTTCAGGCTGGCCTTGAGCTCATTCTGTAGCCCAGGCTGGTCTCAAACTTGCAAGGATCTTCCTGACTCAGCCTCCTGAGTGTTGGGATTACAGGTGTGTGCCATCATGCCTGGCTTGTATTCTGCCCAAATGTACTGTACATTAGACATTTTTCTGTGTCAGTGCTTAAGCTACATTATCATTTTAAATTAGACCCTGGGAGGCTGAGAATATAGTTCATTGGTATAGTGCCTTCTTGGCAACCACAAGGTCCTGAGTTTTATTTCCAGTACCCCCCAATAAATTAGATCCTTGTTCCTCAACAGAAATACACAGCATGATAGGGAGAGGTTATGTGGCACAAGCAGCCACAGTAGCAGATCTCAAGTGGCTTTCCAAGGAGAAATCTTTGGGGGCCTGCCCCTTAGCTCAGTTCTTTAAGTGGCTGCTTCCACAAAGCAGTCAGGCTCAGGTTGCTGTGGTTCGATCCCCACAACTCAAGCCAGCCAAACCTGCCCGGAAAGCATTCGGAGGAAAAAAAAAAATCCTTCCGGGGAGAAATCTTTGTTGCTTAGGGGCATTTCTGACTCTTAAAGGCTGTCATTTCTCAGCTCACTTAACCTTGAAGATGTCAGCGCTGGTTTGGTGGAAATGTGTAGGGACTAGACCCTGAAGTTTTAGGGAGTCAGGCATGGTGGCACACATGTGTAATCCCAAAACTCTGAGAGACTGAGGCAAGAGGATTCCAAGTTGAAGGCTGGCTGGGGCAACTGTCTCAAGGTCCTGTCTCAAAATAAAACAAACAAAAAAAAGATCTGTGTGATGTGTCTCAGTATGAGGGCTCTGGATTCAATCTCTTGTACAGAAACAAAAAAAAAAAAACAAAGCAACTAGATTGTCCTAAAAGACAGTTTTGATTTAAAAAGAACCCATTCCATCTCAATAGGGAGTTAAATAATAACTTCAGGACACTTAATGTGTTCGTAATAGTGACTTGGAAAAATTTTACTTGTTTAGCTTTCAAGATGTTACTGTACTAGTAATTACAAATATAGATAAATGTACTTTTAAAAAAAATTTTATTTGTGTGTGTGTGTGTGTGTGTGTGGCCAGCTCAGCCCACCAGGGGGCGGGGCTGGCTGGCATGTGGTGCTGGGGGATTGAACCGCGGTCCCTGTGCTTTGCTAAGCTTGTTCTAAGTAGGTGCTTTAGACCACTGAGCCATCTCACCAGCCCTACTTTTTTGATAAATGTACTTTTTTGTGTGTGGAACCGGGCATTGAACTCAGGCCCTTGTGCTTGCGAGGCAAACACTTATTCTACTGAGCTATCTCCCTGGCCCAGTACTTTCTAATAGAGTGTAGATCAGTATTTGAGGTTTTTTCTTTTTAATTTTGAGACAGGGTCTCACTATATAGTTCAGGCTGACCTTGAGCTCACTTTGCAGCCCAGGCTAATCTCAAATTTACAGTGATCCTCCTGCCTCAGCCTCCTAAGTGCTGGGATTACAGGCGTGTACCACCATGCCTGGCGGTCAGTGTTTGATTTGAATATCCTAATAATAGCTGTCAGTACTTATTTTGTGAATTTTTAGTTTGGAAGAAAATTTTCTTCCTACTCCCCTACATGTTCTCCCTCCATTACACAGATAGGGAAACTGAGGTCCTGCAAGGTTAAGCTGCACAGCTCAGGAACAAACTGGTTGCAGAAGGAATTGTCCTTTAAAGATCTACAAGTGTTAGAGGCCAAGCCAGGCCAACAGGAGCTCTGGAAAGGTTTTGCTTTTGTTTAGTGCTGGAGATCAAACTCAGGGCCTTATGTTTGCTAAGCATTGTTTTACCACTAATCTATATCCCCTGCTCCAGGAAAAGATTCATAGAGGGTGGGAAGGGGTCCAGGGAGAGCTCAGTAGATTAAGTGCCTGTCTGGCAAGCACAGGGTCCTGAGTTCAATCCCTGGTGCCACAAAAAAAAAAAATAATAATAATAATTAAAAACAGTGAG